AAAAAATTATCTTAAATTATTTTTTTAATAATATAGTCGGAGAGGTCAGTGGTGAGTGTTAGGGTTACGTGGAAGCGTTACGTGGAAGGGTTAGGTGGAAGGGTATTGGCCCTGAAAGCTATTCAGGTCACAGTCATGTCACAGTAATGAGTCGTGTCGTATACTTTCCAATTAACCAACTACCTACCGGCTACCGGCTGCCGGCTGCTGGCTGCCGAGTGCAGAGGTGGCATCCCCACATACCTGTTCCGTCCCATGCATTTATTTTTATTTATTGTTGTTAGGGTATTTTTGATTAAAGGCAGTGACGAAAAAAAAAATTTTTTTATATAATTTTTTATATATTAATTAATGAATGAATATATTTAATATTCAAAATTTTAAGTGTATAAAAAAAATAATTAATTATTTAATATGTAAAATTGTATCATAAAATAATGTTAAAAATTTATTCTTAAATTATTTTGCTAATTAATTTTCTTATAACTTAATATTAGTTTCTTTATAAACAAATTTAAAGGCATATTTTGTGTTAATTTATTGTATTTAAAATATAATAATGATAAATAAAATTAAAATTTAATATTAATAATGTGATATAAATTATATCATTTAAAATATTTTAAAAATTTACATTATTTAATAATTAATTTTTTAAAATTCATAATATTATATATTAATTATTTTAATAATATAATTTTTTTTTTGAACAAATTCACAAAGGACAGATTCGAATCGTTGCCCTGAAAATGAGGAAATGCACTTATACATGATCTGATACCACTGAACCCGAAAAGCTGCCTTAATAATATAATTTATACTAACTTATTAACTTTAAATTTTTATCTCAAATTTTCGTTCATACGTGCAACTAGGATTAGGATTTAGGAATAAGGATAGCCAGTCGTAACTTAGGTTGTGTGCGGGGCTGCGGTTTCGAAGGTTTTTTTTACGTAGTTCCATAATACATTTAGATAAATATATATTTGATAATTTTTTTAAATTATTTTTAAAAAAATAAAAAATATAATAAATTTGTAATAATTTATGTATATAAAATTAAAAACTTCATTTTAAAATTTGTTGATGGCAACTTTTATAAAAAAAATTAAT